ACGTTATAAGAGGAAAACACAATTCTCCCTTATATGCATAACTGGGATTCAAGTGGATCAACGAAGATCACAATCAGACATTAAAAATTCGAATCCGAGTCTTACCCGAAGATTAATATGTCCCGTTCACGCGATAGCATTATCCACAAAGTTAAAGGCTGACTTAAGCTACGCAAAGTTAGGGATTGATAAGATGGTACACGTAGGTCAATATAGATCAATAGATGTATCTATAGAAGCGACAGATACACTCGATCGGCCAACCGACAAAGCTTCGACGACGGAAAAAGCTTTGGCCGGGATGTCGCTCTCTTGTAAACATGTTTACCCGCTGGCTCTGCAACTTCTCATTTAGTTGACTTAACGTCGTCTGTCGCGACATAGACACGCCCGCGCATCTTACCTCTTGGACACTAAGGTCCGCTCGTTAGTCACTGCGATGAAAACTAATATTTAGCATTTTTTGCTGCTACGGTGACGTAGCCACTCTGTGATAAGCGGGACGGCAAGTATGTGTATATCGATGAACTCTTATCCTGCCTTTTAGTTTAAAGGGGGTAGTTCAGGGTGATCGAGGGGGTGGCATTAAATTCTAATATAACGCAATCAATCGATAGTGTAAGACAGCGTAGTTTTAGAATAGACGATCTTACGAGAAGGGAAAATAAAATTGAGGGTGAAAAAAAAAGGTGAGGGAGACAATGCGTGAGATGCGCGTATTAGCAACCGGAATCGAACCAGTCAAAATACCCATAAGGATGCGTCATGATTTCTAGGAATGGAATGTAACTAGACGCAATGATGATTGGACGTTGCACAATGCTTTCAGTATATAATTGGTAGTCAGCGAAGAATCAAAATGATTTAACAGCTTCAGAGGTAAACCGAATTTTACGAGTAACCATGAACGAACGGAGGAGCTGCGAATTGGATTAAGTTTTAAACAAAATTTTTCACTCCCTTCCTCCAAACCCTCCCAACCCCCACTCCTCCTCTATACCCACCCCGAGGATTCCTCGTAGTCGAAAAAGCGCTAATGCATTTACCCGCATCAATTCCTTCAGTTCACAACTAGCATGTTATCCTCTGCGAATTGTCATGTTCTCCACTACCCCTGTGAGGCTGTGGGATTGTACTGAGGTACATTAACGTATCGTTTTCACCTTTCACGAAATATATTATAAATATTTATTTAACAGCTCGACAAACATTGGAAGACTCTCGATTGATATTAATATTATTTATTTTATCTTGTATATTTGTAATCGTATTATGTTTTTCCGATCATCAGTCGTCTTACTTAATTACCTCAGGTGAAAGCGGGTGACGGAGTGGAGGGCGAGGGGAGAGCTCGTAGATTAGATTCACGTCGAACATCTCTCAGAGGAAGTTCCCTCAAAGGAATTTCTTTCGAGTCTTGTTCAATGAAAACGGCCTTATTATTATTACTTGCGTTATCGTAATATTGGGTAGATAAAATGCGAGAGCAGAGCCGGTGAGTGATGCGAGGAGATCAAAGCAATATCTTATAGAAGCATCTTCTTTCATATAATCTACTTATAACCGGTTTCGATTGTTTGCCGAAAAACACGTATTTTTTTTTTCAAATTATTACAAAAACAAGCCTCTCCCACCCCCGCCCCTCTCTCGCTTTATTTCTCCACCAATCCATTTCGTCCCCATATTTTTCTTTTTAACTCAATGCCCTATATCATCCGGACTACCGTGCTCAACCGTCTAGGAATCCCTCCTCGGTCTGACCGTTTCAAAATGGTAGCTATACGATTCGAATTTAATCGCTCCCAAAGGTATCCGCACATGTTTCTCTTGAACGATGCAAATTCATTGTTCGGATACCGGGACGTGGAATGGCTTGTAAGAGGGTAGGAGAGGGTTGGACATATATGAGATAGTAGGAGGAACGGTACACCCCACTTGGGATGAACTAATTGCACCCATATTAAATTACGAGCTCTTCGGTTAAATGCACTTCCGGTTATGCGACCATTCCTTCCTTCCTTCCTAGTGGTTACCTACCCCTATTCTACATATCTATTTCCCATATACGTATATACCAAACAGTAATAGCCTGTATTTCTGCAGTTATCTTATATCTGAATGAGTAACACGCTTTGTGCTCGAAAAATAAGACCTAGGATATATCGGGCGATTACCTCCAATTATTAAAATCGATACCTGGTATTTAAGTCCCCGGAATATAATTAGCGATTCTCTCGCGCCTCGGTCAAACTATTGGCTAAAAACTGACACGGTCGGATACCTACCTTGTAGCGTTCAAACTACATACAACTTTAAGTTAGACGTGCATAGGTAGGTGGGTTTCACCTTTTTTTGTTTTATATTTATCGAAATTCCAGGGAGGAAGGGAGAAAGCGTTTGTATCTATTTTTCCAATGATTTCCCATCCACATATTGATTCGATTGGAAGTTTGCCGTCGCGACGTAAACTTTTTTTTTTCTTTTTACGGAACGTAGAGCAGCATATACACGCACGACGTCCCATATTACTGAGACATTCCGAGCGAACGATCCTCACGGGTATTCCAGGGGGATGTTTAAGTTTTGAGGGGATGGAAATGAAAGGCCGATGGGTCGTAAGAACTGAAGGGCCGTAAGGCTGCAGGGTTACGGTGTAGGCATGGACCCGATACAAAATTTGCAATTACAAGAAGATCGCTCCGGCCCACGGGTTCGAGGCTTTTTTCTGCTCTCTTTCGCCCTTCTTCTCTCCATTGACAACTTCAAAAGGGTTCCGCCGCAAGTTTCCCCTGGAATTTACGGCACTCTCGAGAGGTCAGGCAGACGGGAGTTTTTTTTCTCCTCCACACTCACCTACACCAACCCTCTGAGAACTCCTTTTGTCTCTCTCGATTGCCACCCCTCCCAATCCTTCACCTTCACCGACGCCAGGCGTCGCTCTTGGTACCCACTCGCGGCTTTTGGGGATGCTCCGAGCGTAAAATTGCCAGTAGGAACGCATTAAAGCTAAAGTCTATCTGCCTCCAGGGGCCAGGTTGTACCTACCCACTCTCAATTTCTGGCTCTACCGCGAAGAGAGTTCAAAAGACAGGGCTGGTGAGCAGAGAATATCAGATCCGGAAAATGACGTGGATGGTATGAAATATTAAAAAAAAAAAAATGTATTCGCTTCTTTTTTTTCTGAGTACCCACGTCTCTATCTCCGGTTAGCATTTCTTTTTTCTCTTGAACCTTACGAAAATTCGCTACCCGCACGACGAGCCTTTTGCTCGTAGAAGCAGGACTAGAAGGATGAAAAAGTGCTGACTTGTGAATAGGATGAAATACAGCCACGAGGAAGTGACCTGAGTGCTAACCCAGAGACACGGACGTATACGCGTACCAAGCACCTATGAGCACACATGAGGAATTTCTACCGTGCTCTGGCTTGGGTATGATAGCACAGTGGATGGTGAACATGTGAAGTTAGCAAAGGTGCCAACTTGCCCATTTTCTAGTTATCGAGTTTCGAAGCGAAACGTAGTGGCTGGGAATCTCCGCGGCTGAGGTCCGGTCAGGTTTTCTTCTAATTTCTCAAACTTGATTAAAACTTGTACGCCATGAAAATTAAGTTCGACCAAAGCCAAGAGATCCGTTTCTACGAAAAAGCCTGTTTTCTTCATTTCCCCGCA